CCCCAACTTACAGCATCCACCCCCTATTCTGTACCTGGCCTCACTTCCTACTTCAGTAAGGAGATCCAGGGATTCTGATAAACACCTTCCATTTGTCCCCCTTCCTTTTCAGCACAAATCTCTCTGCTCCCTTCCCTATCCCCACCCTGCAGCAAGGGGTGGCAGAAAGAGCACAAATCAGATAAAACAGCCTCAGGTATCCCGAGGCTTTGATAAAATGTGAGTGCATTGGTTATTGGTTTGGTCTGCTCAGCTCTCCCCACCCCTTCTTGCGGTAGCAGACCCACCCATTCCCCACGGAGGGGATATTTTGAGTTAGCTGGCCAGTCACACTACAGTGATTGGCCACAGTGATTGGCCCAGGGATTGGCCCAGGGATGTGCCTACAATTGGAGATGGACAAATTGGACTTCTTTTTTGGAATTTTTCCATGTAGAATTGGTGGGGAAGAGTTCTGTCCTCTCTGGTTTTGAGGCTATATGAATGATAAACAGGCCAGGTGCAGTGGCTCATGCCTGTACTCCCAGTACTTTGGGAGGTCAAGGTGGGAGGATCATTTGAGGCCAGGAGTTCAAGACCAACCTGGGCAATGTAGCAAGATCTCATCTCCATAAAAATTAAAAAATTAGCTAGGCATGGTGGTACCTACCTGTAGTCCCAGCTACTTGGGAGGCTAAGACAGAAGGATCGCTTGAACTCAAGGGTTTGAGACTGCAGTGAGCTAGGCTTGTGCCACTGCACTTCCAGTCTGGGCGGCAGAGAGAGACCCTGCCTCTAAAACAAAATCAAAAACAAAAGAATGGAAACCAGAGACTGCTTGCACTCATGTTCCCTGATGCCCAGAAAAAGTCTACCTGCAGGACAAGAGAAAGAGACCAGCCCCCAGAAGGATAAAGAAGGACATGGTGATGTCTGCGTTCCTGGGTCCAGCTGCCCTGAGACAAGCGCTACCCTTGCCCGCTCTGGTTCTGGTTGCTTTCTGACATTGACCATAGGAAGTACTCTGCTTAATGCGTGTGAAACTCATTGTCCCCCATCATGAGTTGGCTGTGAGATTACGGAAGGTCATCTAAATGAAGTCCTTAGTGAGCTCACTCCATTGTAGCTTCTAATACCCTGCCCAGCACATCCCCAGCACACAGTCCAGCCATGCCTTCAGTGCCTCACCTCAGTCAGTGCTTCATCATTCACCTGCACCACCTGGCTGGAAATCCTAAAGCTATGTGCCTTTACTTTATTTAGTATTTTATTTTTTATTTTTTGAGACACGGTCTCATTCTGTCACCCAGCTGATATACAGTGGTGTGATTACAGCTCACTGCAGCCTCGAACTCCTAGGGCTCAAGTGATCCCTCCACCTCAGTTTCCCAAAGTATCTGGGACCACAGGTGCATGCCACCACATCCAGCTCATTTTTGTACTTTTTGTAGACATGAAGTCTTACCACGTTGTCTAGGCTGGTCTCGAACTCGTGGACTCAAGGGATCCTTCAGCCTCGTCCTCCCAAAGGATTGGGATTACTGGTGTGAGCCACCACACCCAGCCTTTATTTGTAACACTGCCCATGCCAGGTCCGGTCCATGTGTCCCACACAACATCTCTTGGATCATTCATTTCTCTTCATTCTACCTGTCCCACTCCTAGTAAAAGCCTTTCATTCATGTGTTCGACAGACCTTACAGAGTCCCAGTGATAGGCCAGGAAATGTGCTGACACTGCGGACAGGTCAGTGAGCAAAGCAGATACTGTCCCCTGACACTGTTCCTCTGTCCCCGCCCTTGCTGAGCACCTGTCACACTAAATGTCATCACATACCACTTTTATGTTACTCTTCTTCTTAATAACATTCCCTGGCTCCCTACTTCCTACCTCTTCAAATCTTAGTGTCTCTGTTTGGCCTCCAAAAGTCCTCCACAATCTGCCTCCAGATAATAAGAATAATGATAGCATTAATAGTGGTAGCAGAAGCAGCTATCATTTGTGACATTCTTATTAAGAGGCAGAAAATGGCCAGGCGCGGTGGCTCAAGCCTGTAATCTCAGCACTTTGGGAGGCCGAGATGGGCGGATCACAAGCTCAGGAGATCGAGACCATCCTGGCTAACCTGGTGAAACCCCGTCTCTACTAAAAAAAAAAATACAAAAAAAACACTAGCCGGGCAAGGTGGCGGGCGCCTGTAGTCCCAGCTACTTGGGAGGCTGAGGCAGGAGAATGGCGTGAACCCGGGAGGCGGAGCTTGCAGTGAGCTGAGATCCGGCCACTGCACTCCAGCCTGGGCGACAGAGCGAGACTCCGTCTCAAAAAAAAAAAAAAAAAAAAAGGCAGAAAATGTGCTGAATGCTTTATAGGCATTTACTCATTTAAAGCCTCACAATCAGAGGTGAAATCCAACATATTCAGCACAGGCACCAACCGATCAGAGTGGATGCTGCCTGCCATGCCGTGCCATGCCAGGCATACCAGCTGAATCTGGTTCTGTTCACAGTCATCCTGAAAGGTGGGTTTTATAATCCCTGGCTTAAAATGTGTGAGCTGGCCGGGCGCGGTGGCTCACGCCTGTAATCCCAGCACTTTGGGAGACTGAGGCGGGTGAATCACCTCAGAGTTCAAGATCAGATTAGCCAACATGACGAAACCCCATCTCTGCTAAAAATACAAAAATTAGCCGGTGTGTAGCGGGTGCCTGTAATCCCAGCTACTATGAGACTGAGGCAGGAGAATCGCTTGAACCTGGGTGGCAGAGATTGCAGTGAGCTGAGATTGCGCCACTGCACTCCAGCCCGGGCAACAGAGTAAGACTCCGACTCAAAAAAAAAAAAAAAAAAAGATAAATAAAATGTGTGAGCTGACACTCAGAAGGGTGAAGGGTCTCACCCAGAGTCACACAGTTGATAAACACCAGCCTTCCAACCCAGGACCTTCTGACTCCAAAGCCTCCATTTCACTCTCTAAGTCCCCCTCACACAACCCTTTCTCCGGTGACACCAGGTCTTTCCCTGCAATGCACGTGGGCCACAGTCCTGTTAATCTCCTCCATTCATTCCTTCCACAACCATTGGATGAGGCTTCCACCTTCAGTCATCACCTGTGCAAGATGAGGGGACTGCCATGGGGGCAGGGACTATGTCATCCTGTTCACTGTGATATCCCCAGCACCTGGCACCTTACCTGGCACAGAGCTGATCTTCAGCAAATACCTGTTGAATGATCAGTATGAGGGTGACAAAGGCATGGACTTCACTGGAAGTAGCTCCCAGGTGTCACTTACGAGTGAAAGTGTGCCTCCTTTATTGTGGGTTTTAAAACAAGAAAGGACCAGAGCATTCTGGCATGCGGGCCCCCTGGCTCTGGAGGCACGATGAGGCTGTCTGACCTGTTGCTGGTCCAAGCAGGACACCAGTCCCAGAGCTGGAAAGCATGGATGGAAGGCAGCCACGCTGGCCCCACAGGCCAGGAAATGCCATGGCCCAACATGCTGAGTCCCCATCACCACCACCTGCCCTGCCATCCCTCTTCCTTCTGCTTCTCCAAACGTACTCATCTCATTCATTCATCCAGTCGGTCGCTCAACAGTTATCGAGTGCCTGTTCTGGGCCAGGCAGGTGCTAGGTCACAGCACGAGAAAGTCAATGGTACAAAGATTCAAGACACAGCCCCTGCCCTCTGCAGCACAAAGTCCCAAGAGAGAGGCAGATACGTAAGTGGACAGTGATAACCATGGCAGGAGGGGTCAGTGCGGGTGCAGGGGGATTGTAGGAGGGCCCTTTCTGTGCCATTTGGAAAGGATATGGAGGTTTTCCTAAGAATCAAGGGCTGATTCCACATTCAAGACTCTGTAATGTTGCAAGTTGCAACGGTGTTTGCAGTGGTGGTTAATGTTTGTTGTTTGTGGTGGTGGTTAATGTTTAATATTCATCTCAGCCACCAAAACAGGTCTGAATTTCAACACGGTACTCAGAGATCCTTCACTCCCCACAGAGCAACAGCTTTTGGAATCAGGGGAACTCTGGGTTCCAGTCCCAGCTCTGTGATTTTGAGCACTGAAACTTTTCCGAACCTGTTTCCTTCTCTGCCTTTCAGGGTTGCAGGGCTTAAACGGATAGCATTAATCACCTTCCTTTCACAGGCTGTTAGCACTCAATCAAACCTGCTTCTCCGGCTCAAAGATGTTTAAGACCCAGGCAAGTCACAGAACCTCAACAGAAAAGGAATAACATCAAGGGGCACCTCCACATCATGTCCCCACTGCCCTGAAGGAGAACGCCTCTAAGCTTAGCAAAAACAAGTTTGAATTTTTGTTCACATGAACTTTTCTACAAAAGCAATAAATCAAAGAAAAAAGTTTAGGAACAGATTAGAGCAGACTCAGATGGGCTCAGTTTCCCTTACCCGCCCCCGCCCCGCAGGGCGCTGCTCGCTGCTGGACTCAGAAATCCAGCTGGCTTTTCACCTCCAAGATTCTCCAAGGACCACACCCGACAAACACGTCACCACCCTGGCCAGCACAGAGCACAGTGGGTGGAAGGAAGAGAGCAGGGCTTTGGGGAACCTCCCGCCCAGGATTTCACTACCAGCGCCCCACGTGACCTTGGGCAAGTCATGTCACCTCTCGGGACCTCGGTAGTTTCATCTAAAGACGAGCATTAACACCTAGGTCCAAGGTGCCAGACACGTCTGAGGCTGGGAAAGCATGAACCCTCTCCCCGCCAGCACCCCAGGACTGTTGATGTTTTTGATTTATGGCCTCCCCTTCCTGCCTCCTTTCCAACTTCCTTCCTCATCCCAGTCCTCCAAGCACTGACAGCCCATGGATTTAAGCCACATTTGAGCGCGGTCTGGGGCAGTCGGCAGGGTAGGAACATTTCAGCGTAGGCTGGGGGAAAAACGGAAAGAGTCGCGCTCTTGCCACTGCCTGTGCCTCTGCGCCTCTTCCTGTACATCCTCCTCTGACCCGCCACCCAGGCTGCTGGGCTGGGGGACCCTGGGGTGCCCGCCTTTACCTTTGAAGATTCTCCCCTCCTGGGTGAGCAGGGCGGCCCCCACGGGAAAGTGACTGTAGGGGCAGTAGGCTGACTTCTTGGCCTCCTGGGAGCAAACCAGCAGCTGCTGGACACACTCGGGCTGCAGGGTGCAGGCGGGAGGCTTCTGGGCCATGTTGGTACCCCAGGCAGGCAGCAGAGCTGTGGAAACAGGAGCTCCAGTCAGCCTGGGCTGGGGCCCCAGACACGATTGCAGCTCCTCCCCCGGGGGTGTGTCCCTGCAACCAGATGGCAGGCTGTTAGGTACGCGGCTTTCAGGATGCAGAGTCTAGGAGAGGAGCCTCCCATGGTTTGGACGCAGCAGGTGTGGTGTAAGAAGGTGCCTGCGTGTGCTTCACACTCTCCCTTGGGAACCACTCTCACTATCGGACACACTGAGGGGTGGGTCAGAAGGTGGTGCCACGCTACTAGAAGGGGAAGCTACTGGGTGGGTCAGTGTGGGATCTCAGAGGTCCAAGCTCCAAGGGCTGACAGCCCTCAGTTTGTTAAATCGCTTTTTCTCTCCTCCACTGAGGGAAGGACTGAGGCTGAAAGGGCAGGGCTGGGGCAGCCAGTGTGGCATCCCCGAGACGGGAGGCATGAACAAGCTGCAGTACGACTGAGAGCTTCTTTATTTTCACCCATTTTCCTTCTGACTTCTCTTTGCCCCAGCCCAGAATTAAAAAGTATCTCAGCTTCTGGGTGCAGTGGCTCACTTTGGGAGGCTGAGGCAGGAGGATTGCTTGAGCCCAGGAGTTTGAGAACAGTCTTGGCAATATGGCAAAACCCTGTCTCTACAAAAAATACAAAAATTAACTGGGCATGGTGGCATGTGCCTGTAGTCCTAGCTGCTTGGGAAGCTGAGGTGGGAGGATGGCTTGAACCTAGGAGGCAAAGGCTGCAGTGAGCTCAGATTGCACCACTGCATTTCAGCCTGGGTGACAGAGAGCCAGATCCTGTCTCAAAAAAAAAAAAATTGGAGAATGGAGGGAACCATTGAGATTATTTACTTGGGCCCCCTCATTGTTTTGTTGCAAAATAGATATTGGTGTTGGTGGTAAACAAATGTGTTTGCATCCTGGTTCTACTCCTTTCCATGTGTACAAGCTTTGGCAGGTCACTTGACCTCCCTGAGCCACAGTTTCATGTCAACAGCAGGGATAGTAATAATCCCTGTTCTAGATCCTGAGACTATAGAAGAGCTCCAGCTTTGGAGTTCAGTAAACCATGATTTGAATTCCATTCCTGCCATTTATTAGCCATATGATGTTGGGAGGGTCACACACAATCTCTCTAAGCCTCGGTGTCCTCATCTGCAAAATGGGCACACTAACATGATTTCACTTCCAGAGTTGTCATGAGGATTGAATGAGATAATGCGTGTACAATGGGTGTGGCTGGAGAGTCTGGTGACATCATGATGTGAACACCCTTTATGACTCCACACAAACTGAGTTATTGTCATTAAGTGACACAGCCAAGATCACATGGGGCAGAACTCCAGCTTGAGTGGCCAAAGACATCCAACTGTTTCCAAACCCCTGCCTAGCAGGAGAGTTTGGATGGGGAATGGGGAAGGGGCAGGGGGAAAGGCAGGGGAAAGGAGGAGAATACAAGGCAGCATCTCGTGTCCTGCATGCTGGCATATCTGTGTCCCAGACTTGGAGCTCTCAACTGTATGTGGACACTGCAGACGCCCAGGTGGGCCGCTGAAGAGTTGGGTAAAGTTTGCTTCCTTTCCTCCTTGCCTCCCCTCCCTTCAGATCCCCTCCCCTCCCACTGCATCCAGCCCTCAGAGAGGCAGCCTATTCCCTCCTGCTGGGGCTGAGGGCCCCTCCACCCATGCACTTTTCTCCTGTCTCTATACCTTTGGCATCTAGAGCAGTTTCCTGGATCTCAGACGGCCACAGATGTCTCAGGACACCGTGTGCCCACTCGACGTGGGAATAATTCTAAGGCTTTTTGGGGTTAAGTATAATTACAACTGGGAAAAGAATTGTAGTGCCCTGCTGGCCTGACAGGCCTGTCAGAGACCTCAATAAGTCGTCCCGTTTCTGTCCCCTGCCCTGTCTCAGTTTACCCCACCCAGCCCTGCCCAGGCCTGGGATTGGACTTCAGGACTCCTTGACTCCACAGTGCTAGGAGAACCTAGATGACCTCCCGAGCTAATTATAGCCCTTGGCACCTTCAAAGCTCTTTACCTGCACGTGGTCGTACGTGAGGACAGCGCTCATTCCAAACCCAGCTGTATGGAGCGTGGGTGCCAGTGGTGGCTCTAGAATTCCTTTTTCTTTTTTGAGACAGAGTCTCACTCTGTTGCCCAGGCTGGAGTGCAGTGGCACGATCTCAGCTCACTTCAACCTCCGCCTCCTGGGTTCAAGCAATTCTTGTGCCTCAGCCTCCCAAGGAGCTGGGATTACAGGTGTGTGCCACCATGCCCAGGTAATTTTTTGTAGTTTTACTAGAGATGGGGTTTTGCTGTGTTGGCCAGGCTGGGCTCAAACTCCTGGCCTCATGTGATCTGCCCGCTTCAGCCTTCCAAAGTCCTGGGATAACAGGCATGAGCCACTGCACCTGGCCTAGAATTCCTAATGGAAGGGGCTTGGGGTGGTCATCCGGTTGGAGGGAGAAAGTGGGCTTGGAAATTTGCTTAGAGCTAAGTCACAGATCAATAATATGAACAGTACTTTCTAACACGCTTTTCTTTTCACTTTATGTAAAATTAAGAAAAGTTGGCTGGTTGCAGTGGCTCACACATGTAATCCCAGTGCTTTGGGATGCCAGGGTGGGAGGATCACTTGAGGTCAGGAGTTTGAGACCAGCCTGGACAACATAGAAAGACCCTATCTTAACAACAAAAGAAATCTGCTGGGCATGCTGGTGTGCACCTGTAATCCTAACTACTCAGGAAACTGAGGCAGGAGGATCACCTGAGCCTAGGTGTTTGAGGCTGCAGCGAGCTATGATTGCATCACTGTACCCCAGCTTGAGTAACATTATGTTATGAGACCCTGTCTCAAAAGAAAAAAAAAGAGAGAAAGAAAAATGAAGAAAAGTTAATTGCCCAGCTCAAAGAATAGAAAATCCATGGAGAGTGTTTTGAGTCGTAGTGGAGATTTTCAAGGGTCCAAGGTCCTCCCTAAACCCTGCTCCCAGGCCTTCACACTGTGAGATGAACTACCAGAGTCTTCATGTTAGAGTCTAGGTACCATGCATTCACTTACTCATTCAATGAGCAGTTATTGATAATAGGAGCAAACATTAATTTAGCTCTTTTTATGTGCCAGGCCCTATGCTAAATACATTATTTGAATGATTTCATTTAATCCTCACCACAAGATAAAGATACTATTATTGCCCATCTTCGACTGATGAGGACACTTGAACTCATAGAGATCACAGCCTCAAAAATGGATCTCAGGCTGGGTGCGGTGGCTCACACCTGTAATCCCAGTGCTTTGGGAGGCTGAGGCTGGAGGAGGATCGCTTGAGGCCAGGAGTTTGAGACCACCCTGTGCAACATACTGAAACCCCATCTCTACTAAAAAAAAAAAAAAAAAAAATTAGCCAGGTATGGTGGCACATGCCTTTAGTCTCAGCTACTCATGAGGCTGAGGTGGGAGGGTGGCTTGAACCCAGGAGTTTCAGGCTACAGTGAACTATGATATTGCCATTCATTCCTGGGTGACAGAGCACGATCCTGTCTAATAATAATAACAGATCTTAAACCTGAGTTTGTCTGCCTTCAGAATCCTGGGCTCTCATCCATCCCAGAATTCATGGGAGGAGCCAGTATAATGGACCGACAAGGGGTGCAGGACTTGGCATCAGACCCATCCGTTTAAATATCACCAGTGGTATCCCCAGGCAAGTGATCTGTGCCTCTTTCCTCATTTATACAATGGGACAACATAAGGACCCATCTCTGGTGGATCATGGTTTTATCCTGCTCAGGAAGGCTTCCCATCTCTTTTGTTTTATTTTGATTCTTTTAGGTGAGACCTCTTGGTGGACTGCCAGTCATTGTGCTTCCACTCCGTGAGCAGGTACAAGCAGTTGACACAGGATACGCCAATCAGAGACTTCGCTTTTCTGCTGAGTCAGTGGGAATGTTGGTTTTTCCCATCGTGGCTGCTAAGCTAGGAAGATGCAACGGTTGCTGGCAGCTAGCTTCCCCCTCTTGGTAGAGAGAGCTTCCTTGCAGAATGAAGCCTGATGGAGAGAAACAGAGCTGAGAGATGGAGGAAAAGAACCCCAATTGCTTGCTGATTGTCTGGATCCAGCCATGCCTGAAGGCATGCTTCTAGATTTTCCTTTAATTGAGCCAATACGATTCACTTCTATCTTAAACTTGTTTAAGTTTTGTTTCTGTCAATCCTGTGACATCTAGTGGAACATATTACTTCCTAGGATGTTTGTAAAAATCAAGTGAGATAATATACATAAAGATTTTAGCATGGCGAATGGCATGTGGTAAGTGCTCAAAAAGTGTTAACACATGGTATAGCAAATACTGTGTGCCAGGCCCTGTGTTCAGTACTAGAGAATCAGAGGTGGATGAGACTTGGTACCTGTCTTGAGGATCTCACACTAGTGAAGGAGACAGATAAGCCAACAGACAGGTATAAAACACTATAAAACAAGATTAGGTACTGGGTCTCATAGCAATACAGAAAAACTATTGTTTGGAAGGAGTGGTGGGGTAGGTAGGTTAGGGAAAGCTTCCCAGGTAACAAGAGGATAAAAGGAGTCTTTTTTATTTTATCTATTTATTTATTTATTTATTTATTTATTTATTTATTTATTTTTTGAGATGCTGTCTTGCTCTGTCACCCAGGCCGGAGTGCAGTGGCACCATCTTGGCTCACTGCAACCACCGCCTCCTGGGTTCAAGCAATTTTCCTGCCTCAGCCTCCCAAACAGTTGGGATTACAGGTGGGTACCACCACGCCTCACTAATTTTTTGTATTTTTTTTTAGTAGAGACGAGGTTTCACCATGTTACCAGGATGGTCTCAATCTCCTAACCTTGTGATCCGCCCCCCGCCTCAGCCTCCCAAAGTGCTGGGATTACAGTTGTGAGCCATTGCACCCAGCCCAAAAGGAGTGTTAAATGATGGGTGGCTGTTCATATTGGACAATGTGGGTATAGCAAATACTGTCGGAGCCTCACCCACACCTCCTTAGCCATCCCAGATATCACCTCCAGCTTTAATGGATAGTTCCTAAACATACCCACGGCTTCTTACCTTAAGCATTCCCTGGGCATATGAGTCTGCTCAGCCCATGCATAGGGTAGGCCAGAAATGCCAGGGA